AGAATGTGATCACCAAGAATCTTATCACTCTTGCTTTTTTTTGTTGGGCTTAGAGACAAGGACATTTTTACAGCAGTAAAGCAGGGAGATAAGTTAGCTGTTTTTCTCAGGAGCAAGAAAGACCTTTCCCAAGACTTTCTTGGGACATCACTTTGTTGCGCAAAATTGGCATTATGACCTCTGTGTTGATAAGAAAATATTAGATTCACATCTTATTATCTGACAGTAGGTTAATATGAAAAATGCTATACTATGAAAAATGTATTTCACAGTATTCTAACAGATGCTGCTAGTATAATAGCCTAATGTAGCCAATGCACCAAATGTGCTTGAGCATGTTTTTGACACTATTTTCATAAGTGATGATATATCCTAATTGAAACTTACTAAAATTATGTTTTCTCCTCCAACTGTCATGAAAACATACCAAACTATGTGTTTTGTGTACCCATGATTTAGGAATATAAGATTTATCTTCCTTTTGGTTTTCTCCTCTACGGTTTAGAGTTAGATTTGAAAATATGAGATTTTTATTCCTCTGAATATTAGTCCCGTGAGCTAATTCAGTCACCAAGTATGTATTAATTCTCCTTGATTACTTGTATAGGCCAACCTAGATTCAAACTTGAAGACTTGTATAAGACATTTTTAGATTTTTTAAATCTAAAAATCTAAATCCGTAATTTTTAAATCTAAGAACTTGTTATAGAAAATAGTATTATAGTCTTTTTTTTTAACTCATGGAGTGAATCCCTTTAGGAATGTTCAAAGAAAGTCCTAAACATTTTTATTATTGTTAATTTGTGTATGTTGTATCCTTGTATCATGTAATTCTTTCATTAAACCTTTTTTCTTGTGAAACCAAACACATAGTAGAAAAGTGTAAAAGGCAGAAATGTACAACCCATCTAACTACCATCCAGGTCAAGAAATAAAACATTACCAGTACCCCTCAGAAGCCCCCATGTCCTTCCTAATCACTATTCTCTCCCCACCCCTAGAGTTAACCACAATTTTGACTTTTAAATTAATCACTTTCTTGCTCTCTTTATAGTTTTACCACCTATTCATGCATCTGAAATACTATGGTTTAGTTTTGCCTGGTCTTTATTTGGTTTTTTGTTGTTGAAATTTACATAAATGGAACCATACAGCTAAATATCCTTTTAGGTTCAGCATTTCGCATTCAAAATCATGTTTGTAAATGTAGTTGTAATTAGTTTCATTGCTGGATAGTGTATATATACTGTATGTACAGTATAGTTGCTGAATTATATGAAGTCACCACAAATTGTTTATCCATTCCACTCTTTGGGGTCATTATAAATAATGCTACTATGGACGTACTTTCATATGTCTCTTGGTAAACATTGCACATATTCCTGATCGAGATGTATATATATGGAATTGACAGATATTATGGTATGTGTATTTTTAACATTTTAAAAAAACATATCATTTTACACTATAACCATTGGAATATGAGACTTCCCATTTCTCTGTGTCCTCACCACACTATTGTTTTAGCCCAGCTATTTGTTGTGTAGTGTTAGCTCATGGTTTTAATTTCCTTTTCCTTGATTAGTAATGAAGTTGAACATCATTTCACGTATTTATTGACCATTCTTTTGTGAAAGTGCTGATTCAAGTATCTGTCAAGTGTTTTTATACTGTATTGTCTTTTTCTTATTGATTTATAGATATTCTTTACATATTTGGGATTTGAGCTAATTGTGAAGTATATGTGTTTCAGAGGTGTTCCCCCTTTGTTGTAAATTAACTCTCTATTATGCATGGATTAATTAGTGGACTTTCTATTTAACAGTCTCTTAGACATTGTTCTATCACATTGTCTTAAATAATGTACCTTTATTATAAATTTTGATACTCAGTAGAGCAGAGCCCCCTATCTTGTAATTTATTTTATTATTTTTATTCTGGTAAGAACATCTAACATGATATCTACCCTTTAACAAATTTTAAGTGTACAATATTGTTTACTGTAGATATAATATTGTACAGCAGATCTCTGGAACTTAATCATCTTGCAGAACTGAAACTTTATACCCATTGAACAGTAACTCTCCACTTCCCCCTCCTCCAGCCCCTAGCAACCCCCATTCTACTCTCTGCTCCTATGACTGACTATTTTAGATATCGCATATAAATGGAACCACACAGTATTTGTCTGTGACTGACTTATTTCACGTAGTATAATGTCCTCCAGGTTCATCCATGTTCTCACATATGGCAGATTTCCTTCTTTTTTAAGACTAAATGATATTTCATTGTATATATATACCGCATACATTTTAGAATTAGCTTGTCAAGTTCCACAAAGAAACCTGTTGAGATCTTGATTATGATTGCATTTAATCCATCAATTTGGAGACAGTATTGCAAAATTGAACCTCATAATTCATTAACATAGTATATATAGCACTTCTAAATTTCTGCCAATAATAGTCATAGTTTTCTGTATAGAGTCCTTGCATGTCATTTATACATTTATTCCTAGATATTTTATATTTTATGTTGTAATAACTGTTATTTTCAGATTTGTTCCTGGTATATAGCAATATATGGATTCTTAAATTTTACCTTTGCAGGCAACTGTAATACCTCTGTGGAGTTGATTAGATTTCACATGTGCATAACTATATAGTATGCACATAAGGACAGTCCAAGTCATGATACCTTTTATTTCATTTTATTGCCTTTCATAAGGCTAGGACCTTCACTGGCTGGAATCTCCAGTGCAGGGCTGATTAGAAGTGGTAATAGTTGACATCATTGTCACACCCCCAATTTCAAAGGGGAAACATTAAAAAAAAATTAAGTATGATGTTACATGTTGCTCGATTTGGTTTGCTCAGCATTTATTTAGAGTTTTTAATCTAAGTTTATGAATGAGAAAATCCTGTAATTTTTTAATAATGTCCTTGTCGGGTTTTGGTCTTAAGGTTTTGCTAGTTTCTTACAGGAAACTGGGGAGTGTTTCCTCTTTTCCTGTTATCTGAAAGAGTTTGCATAAGGCTAATATTATTAATTAGAATTCACTATTGTAGCCATCCGGCTAAAGTTTTTGAGTTTTATTTTGTTGGTTTTGGAAAGGTTTTTAATTGCAAATTCAATTTCTTCAGTAAGACTGTTCAGATATTCTATTTCTTCTTGTGTCCATTTTGCTTAGTTGTACTTTTCTAGGAATATGTCCATTTCGTCAAAATTTAAAATTTGTTGGAAGAAAGCTGTTCTTACTCATTTTTTAAAAATCTTTTCATGGCCTATAGAATATGTAGTAGTGTCTTTTTTCATTCCTGATATTTTTTCATTTGTGCCTTGTCTCTTTTTTTCTTAATTGGACTAACATTTTTCTATTTTTATTAATCTTTTCAAATAATTTATTTTCATTATCATTTAGTTACCCATGGATTATTTACATTTGTATCCTTAATTTCCAAATTTATAGGAATTTTCTTCACTAGAACTTAGTTTGGATTTCTAGCTGATTGAAAAAACATTCTGAATGATTTCCATCGTTGAAATTCATTTTTGAAATTCGTTTGCTTTTTTAAATTAATTAATTAATTTATTTATTTGTTTGTTTTTGGCTGCATTGGGTCTTTGTTGCTGCACGCGGGCTTTCTCTAGTTGCAGAGAGTGGGGGCCACTCTTCATTGCGGTGCGCTCCTCTTGTTGTGGAGCACGGGCTCTAGGCACGTGGGCTTCAGTAGTTGTGGCTCACAGGCTTAGTTGCTCTGTGGCATGTGGGATCTTCCCAAACCAGGGATCAAACCTGTGTCCCCTGCATTGGCAGGCGGATTCTTAACCACTGTGCCACCAGGGAAGTTCCCGTTTGCTTTTTTGTTTTTGCAGTACACGGGCCTCCCACTGTTGTGGCCCCTCCCGTTGCAGAGCACAGGCTCCGGACGCGCAGCCTCAGCGGCCATGGCTCACGGGAGATCTTCCCGGACCGGGGCACAAACCCGTGTCCCCTGCAACGGCAGGCGGACTGTCAACCACTGCGCCACCAGGGAAGCCCCCGTTTGCTTTTTTAATAAATATTTTTGTAAAAAATCCACTGCATGCTTGAGAAAATGTATGCTTTATAGTTGTAGGATGGAGTGTTCTGCATATTACCATTAGGTCAGTTTTACTTATTGTGATATTCGAATCTTCTACATCATTACTGTATTTATTTGCCTGCTTGTTTGGTCAGTTACTGAAAGGAGTATGTGGACAACCCCACTGGTTGTGGATTTGCCTATTTCTCTTTCTAGTTCTGGCAATTTTTGCTTCTTTTATTTTGAGCCCATGTTATTAAATAATGCAAATTTGGAATTACTTTATCTTCCTGGTAAGTTTGCAGTTTTATCATTACTGGGTGTACCTCTTTATCTCTAGTAATAGTTACTGCCTTAAAGCTAACCTTGGCTGATACTAATGTAGTTACACCGATTTTCTTTTGGTTATTATTTGCATGGTAAATATTTTCCCACCCTCTTTTTTTCAATTTCTGTATATCACTGTTTTACATATTGACTTATAAGTAGCAGATTTTGTGTTTATTTAATCAAAGTCTGCCAATCTTTGTCTTTAAAGGACACTTAAGACATTTACATTTAATGTAATTGAGTCTGAATCTGTGTCGGTCTTTTAAGGTCAATACATCTTTTAAACAATTTTTTACATTCAGGAAAGAGTTCATTGACACCTATGAGTTTAAGAAATTTATCTTCTCTGATTTGTATCCAAACATGCAAGAATTCATGAGACCTTCTCATCTCCTGTCATTCCTTTGACTGCTGTATAATGAAAAGAGATCCAGGAACTAAAATATGCTAAGAACATTTCTAATCTAGTGTTTTGGGAATTTTGCTTACAACTCTTGTTTTTTTCATGACTTATCTACCTAATTCCAATAAACAGGGCGTTACCAATGTATCTATTAATATATCTTTTTTTACAAAATACTATAAAGATTTCATTTTTGATTGCAGGGCTGTAACTCCCAAATGAGCGTGTCAGAAGTCTCCTGTAGTGAAAGTACATCCTCCTGTCAGTCTCTTGAACATGGCTCAGTTCCAGAAATTCTCATTGGCCTGCTTTATAATGCCACAACTGGAAGACTATCAGCAGAAGTGATAAAAGGCAGCCACTTCAAAAACTTGGCAGCAAACAGACCACCCAGTGAGTGAAAAATATTTTTCTTAATTCTAGTGTTTTCTGTACTTATGAGACTCGCAGTGTAGGGGCTTCAGTCCTATCATTTAGTCTTAACCAATCAAATGATGGTTTAATCATCAGCTAATCTGTTTCATGTTTTCTATTTCTAGCCATTTGGGAAGTAGAAAGATCTGAAATTCAAAATATTAATTGTAAGGCGGCAAGACTTTAACTTTTTCAGTGTCTGCAGAATGAATTAGCCCTATCATAGCCATTATCTTCTAATGCCAGAAAAAGTTACAGGTTTTTTTTTAAAGGTAGTAACACTCCACAAATATGATGACGAATGCTTATAGCTGTTGTTTGTAACTGAAGTTCGACGTCATGTTTCCTGTCTGCATGCAGTACTATGAACTAATGTGTATACTTCTATATTTTTCCTTCTTTTCTCCCTTAACAATTTAAGAAAAAACTGTTTCTTCACATTTTTCCTCCTTTAAAATTACAAATCAGTACTGCCAGCAGAATCTTTTCTTAAATGGAATGTGCTTTGCTTTTACCAGGACAAACAGAATAAGGAATAGTTTGATATTTATGCTCGATGCTAGGAAAGGAAAACTAGATGGTATAGATACCTCTGCCCTGTCTATATGCCTCTCACTCTTCTCTCTCCTGTCTCTCTCCCAGCTCAGGAGGCTGGGGATAGGTTATGCACAGAGAAATTGTCACGCAGTATACCTCCAAAATTGTTTATTGTTATCTGTAGAAATAAACTGGGAAAGTAGCAGCCTCTTTATATTTCTCTAAAATTAAAACTGTTAATAACGGCCTAAACTCAAAATTTGAAAGGAAATCTTGAATAATAATGCCAACCTTAAATTTGTTTAACAATTTCTCACAGACTTGCTTGAAGCAATATTTCACTCCAAGTACCAAATAATTGTTGGAGGGGGAACTTTTTCCACCCTTGAATTAACTTTACTTCTAAATATCCTAAAAATTATTTTTTCAATCAAAGTGAAAAGTCATAAAAATATATTTAGTGTGCCCTCAGCAGTACTGGAAACCTCACTTCTTACATACATCATGCAATGTATCTGTCCCTTTATTAAACGTCAGAAGGCCAAAGTTAGATTTCTATTTCTACCCTTGGACGAGTGACCTAACTTCCCTGAGGCTGTTTCCTTATATGTAAAATTAAGGTTGTGTTTCTCACAGGGTAACTGTGATACTCAAATCGGATAAAGGCACGTAAAAAGGATGGAATTATTATTTGTCCCCTTTTTCCTTTCAGAAGGAAACATTCAGAGGGTGGAAAAAAGCAATTACTAGAGTAAAGAGCTTTGGAAGTGTGACTTGGTTATCGTCATTAATCCACACTAGGAATGCAAACTCAAATGGCCTGGGAAGTAACTTAAATGAGCAGAATTTGTAGATGAAAGAGAAGGAGGATGGAGAGGCCTGTGATAAATGCAGGGGTGCACACCCTGCCCTAAGACATTCAGATTCAAAATTTTTGAACACGGTCTATTATTTGGGGTTACATTTAGCCACAAGCTGTCAGTTTGCAATTCCTGCTTAGCTAATAGTTTGATTTTTTTGACAAATCTTTAACTTGAAATGCTAGAAAGCAGCAGAATGAAATGACAGATTTGCCTTTCTGTCCTTGCGGAACCCACTCTGATAGAAACAGAGAAACACTAATCAGAACTAAAATGAAGCAGGGGGTGGGTGGAGGTAGGGATGGACAATAAACAAGTTAAGAGAGATTTGCATCCACAACATAGAGTAGATCTATCAGGTTAAAGAATAGGTTATAGCAATTGCCATTATTTTAGAATTAGATCTTCAGTAGTAGGACAGTTCATGGTATTAGCTGGGAAGTAACTGGTAGGTAAATATAAGTCAACATTAAAACTAATTATATGAAGTAGAGTATTTATAAAGTAAAATATGACAATTTTATCAGTTTGTCTATTGTATATAAGATTGTGACCCTTCATATATACCTAGGTTCTAAATTTTGAACTACATTATAGACTGACTAATCCAATTTTTATCCCAAAGGAACAGTGGTAACATTCAAGAACAAAACTTTTGGTAGTTCTGTTTTATTTTGCATAACTTAATTTTATATTACATTGGGAGTAAAAAAAAGTGAAGTGTTAAATATTGCATGGATAAACTTAAAACTTTAGAAAAATAATAATAGTAATGATCCTTTAATGACTTTTATTCAGTCTTTTATGGTCCGATAATTTGCATGATTCTATGTTCAATGTGCTTTAGACCAAGAAAATATCCTTATAAAGGTGTCCCCCTTTAAAACAGTGTAATTTTTGTTTAAGATTACACAATGACCTTAAAAATTCTCATTCCATGAAATTTACCCAACATACCCTTTTTTCAACCCTCTACCTGAATTAAAATGCTAAAGTTTTGTGTTCTTCCACTCCAGTGAACAGTGTTTCCTCTTTAATTCTAACCTTTGACCCTCTTTCACCCGACAATTGACATCTGGTCATTATTTCTTTTACTGCTTTCCACCCCCTGTTGTCAGATGGACTGTTCTGTTGTCTAAAACACTTGATAGGTGGACAGGTTTATATAATCCGAGGTGAGTTCCTGTAGAGGCTAATTGGATGTTGTCTTTTCATGCAAAACAAAATACCCTAAAACTTGCCAGCAGTGAAGCTGTCCACCATGTTGATTTCCAAAAAAAATGCACATTTATTATCTGTGGTACTTTAAATAAAACTAACTTAGAATTTATCTCTGATTATGGATGATGGTATTCAGAGTATCTATAAAACTAGCAAAACTTTTTAAATTAAAGTTTTATTTTTTTCATTCATTATATTTTGACTCATAAGTAGAAATAGATATTTCAAGAGAAATATTGCAATTTTCATTAAAATTAATTGGAATTTTGATATGAAGTACACATGATGGATCTACATGCTGAAGATAATTTGCATGAGTCTAAAGAACTTGAAAACACAGTTGTTTGAAAAGAGGGTTTATCTCCCAAGTAACCAGGTAATGAACTGTTATGTTTCACTTGGTACACTAAACATCACATCAATTTTTTTTTTGTAATTCATGAAAATAGTTAAGATACCATACCTAAAATTTCACATTAAATTGTGCCAAAAAGGAATCCTGTAGTATTTAACTATCCAAAAAGCACATTAAATGTATTCTTGCATGAAACCAGGAGAAACTTTTACTTGATTTGCTAAACTTTGAGCCCTTAGTGCATTTGGCTTCATTTTGGCCCTTAAATGTTTTTAAAATATATTTAAAAACCACATCCATGCAGAGATTTTTTTGACATTTCATCCTCTTTCCCTCCTTACCATTTGCCTTCATTTCTATTCGTTTGTTTATTCTTACACTCTGAAAGCACAGTGGAATGCTTTACAGTGTTGTGGCTAATTGAGCTTGCTAAGTGTTTATTAATGCTATGATGTCCTGCTTAGTGAAGCTAAATGGGGGTGGGGATGGGAAGGGCGGGTAGTGGGAGGTCAAGGATGGGGGTGGGAGGGTGGAGGAAGGATTATGAGGTATACCTTTAAATTCTAACTATAATGTAGAAATAGTGAGGTCAAGATATTATTACCCCCCAAAAGATTTTATGCCTACTTAGCATTCTCTGTGCTTGTCACATTTTATTATCATTTAATCAAAATGGAATTATTGGATTTCTACTAAACATGGTATACACCATATCCTTATAAAGTATAAACACTTAATCTTCTCAGCAAGTGTTACAAGAAAGATGTTTTGAGTTTGTTTCAAATATTTGTGGTATGTTGTTTTTTTCTATAGATACATATGTTAAATTAACTCTGCTGAATTCCATGGGTCAAGAGATGTCCAAATGCAAGACATCCATCCGCAGAGGGCAGCCAAATCCAGTATACAAGGAAACTTTTGTTTTTCAGGTGGCCCTATTTCAACTCTCTGATGTGACACTCATACTGTCTGTGTATAACAAACGCAGCATGAAAAGAAAAGAGATGATAGGCTGGATTTCTTTAGGTCTGAACAGCTCTGGAGAAGAGGAACTCAGTCACTGGACTGAAATGAAAGAGTCGAAAGGACAGCAAGTATGTAGATGGCACGCGTTGCTAGAGTCGTGATGACTAGGATTAATGAGCAATTGCAGTTCAAGGCAGCATCATTTCTGAGTACAACATTACTCTTCTTACCTAGTCACCATGGGAAGATCTATTCTTTGAAGAATCATCTTTAACATTCTACCCAAATGCTTTAAATTCTGTGGAAAGAACATCTAATACTGACATAAATGAAAAAAAAAGAAGTGTCTCTAGTAGAGCTTGTTTGAGAAAATGAGAAACTTTCATCTTTCTTAAACTGACAATCCTCCAGAGCTTTAAGAGCATCGTTTTGGTTTGAAGTTAATTTTACTCTAGCAAAAGAGCCAATAATTTTATGAAAAATCAAAATTATAAATGATTTTGAAAATCAGACTTTTTAGTTACAGCACCCTTTTAGGTTACCCTACATATACACAAGACATATTTTGACTGGCTCATCCCTGGTGTTCGTAATGTTCTTTAATATGAGAAAGTCATTCTCCAGCGTTGTCAGTCAGATCTAATGGTGAAAGGTTTCAATCACATTGAAAAATCACTTTATTTCAGATATTTTCCCTTTGTGCACTTAGTTTTGTTGTGCCTCAGTTCTTCTCAATAGCACTAAATCTAAGTGCAAGCAAGTATTCATTTTCATAAGGGAATGTTTTTTATGTGTTATTTTAAGAAAAGCTCACTTCTTCATTTGCCTCTGATTTTGCCTGATCCAAAGAGACCAAGTTACTGTACTGGTCCCTTGCAAGTCTTCTAGACAGGTTGTACTGTAGACCATGTAACTTTCTGTTGAAAGCACTTCCTGTATTCTTGTATTCCAATGTAGGAAGCTAATAGAGCAGGACTTCACTTTAAAATCTCTTTCAATGGTTGACTCTTTAAAGTTGTAATAATGTGAAAATACGTTTTTTACAAACTAAAAAAATATAGTGAATAAGCTGTTGAAAATTGAAAACAATTCAAGTTAAAGAAAATTTTAATCATCTGCTGAGTATTTAGTAACCAACACTGCATAAAGCAGGTAGCATTCAAATAAGAAACAGTTCTCTTCGCTCTTACTTCAATTTGTATTTGTGATCTAAAGACTCTCCAGTTCTAAGTTTGAATCAGAACATCATGTTAAAAACAGTTCTGAGATTCCTTAAGAAGTTTCTAGTGACGTGTGACTAGATTTTATGAGATTTACAGGTACGTTCTTCAGCGTGATGTCATCCTGTGCCTTCCATGTAAGTTAAATTTGCTCATACAGCTTGAAAGTTGTATTTGCAAAATTAGGCCTTCAATTTTTATAAATGTGAAGATTAGATTCCTCAGAACAGTGTCACAAGATCTTTATTTCCTCTGAAGTATGTAGAAGTTGTATAATGTGCTAATTTTTTTAAATGGCAAAAGGCATTTGTTGTTTTTATATTTAGGAACTCTGATTACCAGGAATATTATAAGCTGTTTTCTTTTAAATTTTGCTTCTTATCTAATATATAATTTTATGCATATACTTTATTAAATAGAATATGTTTTATATATATGAAAAATATTTTTTTTCTCTTTCTAATTTCGAGTTAAATTAGAAACATACTATTTACCAATTACTAAAAAGCGGTATATCATTGTTCCTAGTCCCAACTAAGTACTATGTATTATTATAAGCTAGAACTTGTTATTACCATAATAACAAAACCATGCATAGATATTATTACTTCAGCTTGGCTGTACTGAAAGGCCTTAAAAGAAATCCAAAAAGACAGTGAGCTCCTAATATTTTTTAGTTTAAAAAATGGCAGCTCTATGCATTCGTACATATGAGTTATATGATAAAATACAAATGCCATATCAGGTGACATGGGCTTTAAGAATGTGTGTTAGAGAGTTGCATTAAAGGGGAAAATCTATTCTTTTATTATTACATTAATGAGCATTTTCCAGGGTTTTATAAATGAGTTAGGTTATAAAGTTAAAACATGAATCAAATGACAAAATATCTCATGAAAGTATTTTTAGCAACAGTTATGGAAGGAGATTGGAAGGGGGGCAGTAGGTTTTACTGAAAAATTGGATTTAGGCATTTGATGCTGCAAGTATCTTTTCTGGCTTTGAAACAACTAACTACATTGCTAACAACTGGGATCGTCCTAATAATAAAAAGAGTTATCAGTCTTATCTGTAGCTGTAACAAAGCCTAATCAAATAGATATGAGACCAGCTTGGTGCTTTCTCCTACAGCAAGGAAAAGAACACTAACTAAATGTTATTTGTTAAATCTGTCTTTCTTCAGACTATGCCCAGAATTGTGTGTGTGTGCTTGGATATATCCTTAGGGGTTTATCTGGTCTGAGTATATCAAATCCGGTATGGCCTAAAATTCAATCAACAATTTTTAAATATTTCAAGAAAGACCCTACCTCCACCCCAGCTGCCAAGTCCTCAAAGATTATGAAGTGTATGTATGTGTATCTGTATACACACACACACATGCCTATACACACAACATATATATACAATATGTATATGTGTGTGTGTGTGTATATACATATATATATGTATTTGTATAGTGTGTATATACATATATATATATGTATTTGTATAGGTGAAGGTGCCCTGGCTTTCTCAGATAACTAAATAGAAAAGCATCTATCAAGTTTATGGGTTATTTTTTCTCCTCCGTGTGTTTACTAGAAATTATATTTGGTTTTGGGTGCTATTTGCTGCCATTCTCCTCTGTACACAGCAAAATATATATCTTTTTATCCTTTGGATTGACACAGCTTAGAGTAATTACTCCCCCAAATTTGTCTGTTATTTTAGGAAAAGATTAAATAGGGCTTAAGAGACCCACTCACTCTACTGAATCTAATGTACGAGACGGTACTACTGCTCTTTTGTGTGCTTGGATTTGCATGAAAGCTTAAAGGCAAAATATTGTATCTTAGCAATTAAAGCAAATAGGGGCCCACTGGTGGGCAGCAGGTGTTGTCTGAGAAACTTGAGAAAGACAACCCACTTTCTTATTGTTCTCTTAAAACCCCCTAAGTTTTATAATAAAATGAGATAGTCCAAAACAGCGACTGACTGGCATTCATGGGAGCTCCTGAGCATGGAAATTACAAGCTTTATTTGTCTCCCAAACGAGCTGCAACATGTAGTTGTTTATTACTGCCCAGGAAGCACAGTATATTTTATTTTATTTTTATTTTATTTTTACTTTTTTTTTTTTGCGGTACACGGGCCTCTCACTGTTGTGGCCTCTCCCGTTGCGGAGCACAGGCTCCGGACGCGCAGGCTCAGCGGCCATGGCTCACGGGCCCAGCCGCTCCACGGCACGTGGGATCTTCCCGGATCAGGGAACAAACCCGTGTCCTCTGCATCGGCAGGCGGGCTCTCAACCACTGCGCCACCAGGGAAGTCGGCAAAGTGTATTTTAAATCAGAAAAGAATTTGTTTAGTATATCCTCTTGCCTTTAAGAAGTTTTCTTCCGTAATCTTATGTCTTCTGTGCTATTCGCATTTTGTGTGAAATCTCTTTGCGTATTTCCTTACTGTGCATTCAGTGAATTCTCAATAATGTTGTATTTAGTGACAAAAATAATAAACTGAATCACAGTTTTTAAAAAAGAAAAGCCAGTGAGAAAATATCTAAACTACCCTTATTAATTCATACATGTTTAAGTGTAGGGCCTGGTAGGGCACTTTCATCGTCTAGTTCAGAAGCCCAGGGCTATATGTTAAATCATTTTCTTGATACCATCATCATTTTCACTTATCTAGTGAATCAGAAGCATAATCAATGCTTGCAAAAGGAAAGTAGAACCAGTGGGACAAGAGTTCATAGGACTGAGGGTGTTCTTTAAGATGGAGATCAAATGATATCATAGTTTTTCAAGTGAACTGAGAGATAGGCTATTTGAAAGTGTAAATTTTAGATGAAACTAGAACAGCAGTCACCAACAAATTTTTCAAGGTCTCTATCCAGCTGTTAATAGCGATAACACAAATTCACTTCCATGAAATTGCCATTTGCCTACATAGACTAGATAGTCTACTCCTAGAGATTTTTCTCATTGATAGCTATTATTCAGAAGTTTTCATTTTTTTTTTCCTTTTTACCGTCCCCAGTTCACCCATGACCTACACTGGAGGTGGCCATCAGTATCATCGTCACCAACCAAACTCAATATTGAGCACAAGGTTAAACATACTATGGAGCACTTTTCTTAAATTCACTTTAAAACATCATCTGTATCCACCAAAATGTCTAATAATGATGATGGTAACCGCTATAATTTAGTAAGATCTAGCACAATAATTTATTATTTTGATTCTCACAACAGTGGTATGAGGTAAGTAATATTATCAACATTTTACAGATGAAGAAACTGCAGGATAGAGGTTAAACAGACTTGCCTAAGGTCATCCAGTAAGTAAATAATAGAACTGGGATTTGAGCCCACATATAAATTACTCTAAAACCTATATTATACATATTGCAATTGTATCCCTCTTTACTAGTTGCAAGGAAAAACAGGACAACATTATATTCATCAGTAATCCCACCCACTTTAATTGGATGGCAGCACTAGAAAAAGAGAAGGAAAAAACAGAGCTTGGGAAAGAGAAATAAAAGGCAAAGAAGAAAAGAAGATTAGAGGGGTTCTTTTCTTCTGGGGACACAAATGGTACTTTTGTGTCATACTTTGTAGATGACATATTTTCAAAGACCTGGGGATTAATTTACTCTGCCAGTTTACCCTGTACTTACTTATATTCTGAAAGTGTATTGATCAATTTGTTCTCTTCCTTGTCCACTGTTGGGAATCCACAATATTTTAATTGTGCATGATCCCCTTTCTACCCTACGAAGTGGATAGCCTATGTCCACGAGCACGTATCTTGCCAATACCAGTGGTGAAAGGAAAGACTTTTGTCTTCCTCTGCACTCATTACAATTTAAGTTGCTTCTCTACCCTAAGGTTTAACTGGATTACAGCTAATTTTATTACATATGTCTCTCCCCTTGGTAGTACTTAATGCTTTGTCTTGTTATCTTTATGTGCCCCTTGTTCACAGTAGGCACACTATAAATATTGAATAAACTAAATTCCCTATGGAGGAAATCAATAATATACTGTTATATGTCTCAGTATTTATGAATCTTATGCATGGATTTATTTATGTCTTCACTAGTACCTACTATGTACCATGTATTTTTCTAAGTGCTACAAATTCAGAGATAACAAATTGGGTAGACAAAGTCTTTGCCCTAATGGAGCTTGCATGCTAAGGTGGGGATAGCCACAGAATGATATAACTTTAGCACGGGAGTACAATGCGCAGTTCAGAAAAATCTTCCTAGCGAAAATAACCCCTGGGTTGGGTCTTAGAGAATAAATACAGATTAGACTCCCATCAAGGAACTTATTCTCTCCATGGGCAAAATTTAAAACAGTGGTTCCCAAATTATAGTGTGTTTAAGAATTATTTTGAGAGCTTAATTTGTATTCCAAAGCCCCACCTCCAGAGATTCTATTTCATTTGGTCTGGAGTGGAGCCCAAGAATCTACATTTTGTTAAGCTCCCCAGGAAACTCTGTCTGTGATGCACTGGTATAGAATATTGAGCTCATTATATAGAATTATTGGCAGCTGTCTAACCATAGATTAGTTCTTGAAGTGTGATAGTGATAAAGAAGAGCAAGATTAAGACTAGGATTAGTTCTGTTGATGTGTGTGTGTGTGTGTGTGTGGTGTGTGTGTGTGTGTGTGTGTGTGTGTGTGTGTGTGTGGTGCTGCCTTAGAAAGATAGTGTGTGTTGTGTGTGTGTGTGTGTGTGTGTGTGTGTGTGTGTGTGTGGTGCTGCCTTAGAAAGATATTTAATGAGAAATTAAAAGTGATATTTAATTATGAGTTCCTGTGCATTCACATTCAAGATAACTTTTTCAAAGTGTTTCATGGTATAATAGCTAAATTCTATTATGTTAGTTTTATGATTCCTGAAAATTACTTTGGATTATTTTCAAATATTTCCTTCCAAACTCTCTTTACAATGATAGACACAAGGCAAAGAGAGAGGCTGAGGAAGGTGTTTACCTAGTACATCTGTCAGTATTCTAAATGAAATAAGGCTGACCTTTAAGTATGTATAGTGGCAGCCATAGGTGGTGGCATTTTTCATTCTTGTGTATAGTAAGCTTTCTTGTCTTTTATCATCATCCTGAATGGCTTCATTGTCATTACACTCATCAGATGAACCTCATTCCTGAACTCATTCCTGGATTCTTCACTAGAAATAGCAATGTTTCTATCACTTCTGCTCTGA